GGTTATGTAAGCGCTAAATTGTGGTTGTGAAATTGGTCATTTGCAAAGATGAAGATGACAATGCGTAATGCTGCGAATAGAATGAATGAATGGATGAATGAATGAATGAACGAATGAATGGATGAATGAATGAATAAATAAAAGAATAAATAAAAGAATAAACAAATAAATAAATAAATAAATAAAAGATAACATATGAATGAATAGATAAATAAAACTAATGCCCCCACCAAATGAAATAAAATAAAATAAATGGCAACGGCAAGCAAGTCCTGCCTGGACACATTGTCATGTGATAAAAACATACAATTACAATATTGATCATGGATTATTTCGTGTCACTGGCCCGAGCATCAAGAAATGTAGACATTCATATCATCGATTAATATGGACTATTACAACACTAATATTATAGATATCACATATTGCAACTGGACACGGCACAAGAAAATAGGCTAAATAAGGTAGTTGGTCTTTCTGAGAATCGGTATAAAATGTATGATTCAGCCCTTTCACTTCAAGGCCCAAGAGGCGAGTCTTCGAGTAAAAGTACTAAAAGTGCATTCTTGGCTTTCATAAAAATCTTAGTTTATAGAGATAGAATATAACACATTGTAAGATACTGTTTCATTTGATTTAAAACTAAATACATTCTGCACCATCTGACTCTGACACATTAAACATACATATTATTCTTTAAGAGTCGCACGAAATCTGTCACGCCAAGCATGCAGAGGAGACATGAGCTCTACGTCACCGTTGCTGTGAAGGGGTTAATCATAGACTCGTACTCTAATATCCTAGACCGTGCATTCTGACGTCGTTCTGGTACAATAAGGATCGCACCAGGTACCGCGGGGTAGATGCCACGAGCACTGTGCACTCGACTCTCGGGTTTTTGCTTTTTTCCCGTGAATTTGACCGCCCAAGGTGCATAATATTAAGCTTCTCATTGACAGTAAAGAGCTGCGGCCATGACAATTCATGGTCTAGGATATAATTCAAGTCGATGGTATAAAATAATATACCAATTAAACAAAACAATGTGTCACCACCTTCTTAAAACTAAATATCACAAAGTTGTCATGGGTCATTTGCTCAATCCACTGTGACTTGGGCAATGTCAATGAGGTAACGATCTCTTAAGCAAAGTCAGAAAGAATATAAAATAACACACTATTTATTATTGGAACAAACACTGATACGATAATCCCTTCCAAGCATATAGATAGACATAGAAACAATCGGTAAACTAGTTGCAGATGTCGCAGCATATGAGAGGTATGAAGAGTTGTCAGGTTGAAGTATCATGGACCTCAGTTCATGAAAGACATCTGATCGATCCAGGGAACATCAGACCGAGTCTATTCTTGTCAATATAGGTGAACAATTCCCACTCCCTTCCCCCACTCCCTCCTTCCCCCATCTCTTTTCTCCATCCCCACCCCCCACCCCAAACCACCCCCCAGAAATGTACTTGGGTAGG